ACACACACACACACACACACACACACACACACACACACACACACACATATATATATATATATATATATATTAATTTAATCTCTAACCTTACACTTTTGCATACACAATGAGTTAAATTGTTTGACTGCAGTATACGCAGCTTACCAAAAGCAAATGAACATGCGTTCATTTACTTTTGCAAATCTTAATTTTGAATTATTATTTTTATTCCAGTTTGATAAAAATCTTTGAAAGCAGTCGTAATTCATTTAATAAATGTTTTCCTTAACGTATATATAGTTTTATTAAGATTTGTTGATTATCTGGAAGAAAGAGACAATTATTTTAAATATTATCTTAGCGGTTCACTTACTTTTTCAAAGCACTATATATATATACTAGCAGTAAAGCCCGGCGTTACCCGGGGATGTAACAGTAAGAGATAGATCAAGTATCGACCATCATAAAGACTGAAAAATAAAATTGACAAAGATTATTGTTTAAGGTTGACGGACACGCATGTCTTAATTAGTTTTTTTTTTGTTTACGAATTGGTCAAACCTAAACTCAAACAAAAATATTGTTTTCAATCGTTTTATTATAAACAATTGTCTTGTAAATGTAATTTTAAAAGCATTCTGAATGTAAAAATAAAGAAAAAAGTTTGCAAGACAATAAGAAACACTACCTGACAAAAAAGTGAAGTTTTGTTGAAATCGGTTGAAAAATGTAGGAAATCCGATCCCATATATAAACGAACACACACACACACACAAGCAACCTGCGTTTTATAATAAGTATAACTCGATATGAGTTGTCCCCCTTTCATTCTCGCGATGCCTCTTAATCGTGTTTTCAAATTGATTTTGTGCAAAAACAATTGTGTTTTTCCAATTTTTGGCGCTGTCAGAACCACCGCCAGGTAATTTTACGTAGTCCTGTGAAGTTTTGTTGAAATCGGTTGAAAAATGTAGGAAATCCGATCCAATATATAAACGTACAGACACACACACACACGCACAACCTGGGTTTTATAATAAGTATATATATATATGCGTGTGTGTACGTGTGTGCATGTTTGTGTGTGTGTGTATTGATGCAATAGGAAAGAGCAATTAGATTAATAATATAAAGTTCTTTAATATTTATGTTTTTATTTTTAAAAAACAGTGCTCGACACAGAAGTAGAGCTTAAATTATAATTATTTTTCAAAAATATAATTCCATGGCAACACAGAAATTACTGTTTCGAAACTTGACTCACGTCCTAAAGATTAGTTTCAATATTAAACCTAAAATTTAGAGTGCAGTTTCATTTTCAAACGATGTTTAGAATTTAGAGTTATTTCAAAAATCGCTTGAGAATGAAACTGCACTCTAATTTTTTTATCTTAATATTGAAATTAAACTTTAGGACATGAGTCAAGTTTCGAAACAGTAATTTCTGTGTCGCTATGGAACCAAATTTTAAAATATATATATATATATATATATATATATATATATATATGGATAGCGATATATATAGATTTTTATATAAGAAGAACAGTTTTGGTGGAAGGATGTAGGACTTCAGCGGACTAAGTTTGTTTACGTTGATAAGATTACACATGCGCGCGAACGAAAGATGTTGGAAAGTGTTGAAAAACGAAGGGAAATAAATGACTGACGAACTCATTGCTAGTCTAGATATAAAATCCCTTTACACAACAACGTCCCAGTTGAAAAAAAGCTTAAATCTAACACAATCAAAGATAAACCTCTCCCTACTAAAGGCTAAAATACTAAAAATATGCCGTCTCATCACCAATCAATGCTATTTCATATTTAATAATAATTTATACAAATCAAAATTTGCATAACAAATGGGATCGCCTCTTAGTGGAATGATGGCGTATATTTTCATTGAATTTCTCGAATTTGATCCTTTCCAATATATTTTACCTAATCAATCAACAAAACTTCCGATATATTGAAGTGTTATGGTCCAGGTTAGGACCAAGGAAGAACAACACGAACACAAGAGTAGAAATAACGAAGGTATATTACACGAAATAATAATACAAGATGTGGAAGGTGTTAGTATGACTGTCAGTCTGGTTTGGAGTGAACTACTATCGGCTCGACTCGATTCGGTATTTAGCCATCCCCCCACGAGGGTTGCATGTGGCACAAGGCCGAGTTTAACGTGGGTTTCCCGAGCACGTAGGCTCGGCCAAAAAATGCTCGTAGAACCTGTATAAACGGGATCGGGTTGGTCAACCTCCCCGTACGAGACTCTGCCCTTCGGCGGAGCCTCGTCCGGGTTCCTCTCTGCTCAGAGGCAGAGAGGTTCGACCGTCAAGCCGAGAAGCTCGGCTAGATTCGTCCCTCTCTCTTGAGAGGCGTAGTATACATAGTGTTAGGAAGAGTTCATTCTCTAGTTATAGGTAAGCACCCATGACATGAAGATACGCTCTTAATATATCTCCGTGATACTGATTTAGCAGATCTTGTAGATAAACTAGACAAATTCGAACATACAATAGAATTTACATACGAAATGAAAGAAAACAATACGTTACCTTTCCTAGATATCATGCTACACCGTGTTGAGAATAGCTTAAAACTTAGTGTCCACCGAAAAACCAATTAATAAAAGCGATCTTCTAGAATGCTATAAAATCAGGAATAATTATTGGATTCCATTTAAGATCACTCAGAATTTTCAGCCGTCAGTATTTACATGATGAGGAGAAATATATTGAAAATACTTTCAAACTCCCCCAATTCACTAAGCATTTCATATTCAATGCGAAACAAAAGACTGATAAAATATTCCAAAATAGAAATGCGGTCCCTCTTGACAAATCGAAAGAATAAAACATATTGTTCTACCCACCAATTCTATCACAATTACATTTGAAAAGAATTTATCTAAGTTCAACATGCAATTTATCACAACAACATCTTAAACAATAAAAGACTTAATAAATACAAAACAAAGCAATAAGCTAAAACTTGTCGGAAGAATTTACTCTATTACCTGTAATGATTACCACAAACAATACATTGGAGAAACCTCAATAAATTTAAACAGAAGATATTAGAAACACCAAAGGAATATTTTGCTAAACAATAAATTGACCACAATTTTGATATAAAAATATGCTACTCTAAAAGAGAAAACAATTCACTAAGATGAAGATGTTTGGAAAGTTCTTTGATCGCTAGATCATCCACAGTAAATTTGCGTCCAGGTTCTTACAACATTCTTGGCAGATCTTCTATTATCACAATGTGCAATATTTAATAACAAAATGGATGGAAACCAAAAGAAAAAGAATTTAAATGAAATCAGATAGATTATAAAACCAAAACACACACATACACACACACATGAAAATGCGATGGATTATTAAATATAAGACAATCTAAAATTTCCCAGTTATCGATTTATCTATCTCAATCAGTTATCTATCTATCTATCTATCTATCTATCAAGTTATAATAAAAATATTTGAAATGATTCCGTACTTTTTATATCAGGTCATCCCATAAGTTCTGTCCGAATTGTGAATAAAGAAAACAAGTGACCAAATGTTACATTTAATTACAGATTCAATCAACAATGTATTTTCCCTGATTATCTATGACTTCCTTCCATCTATTAACAAGCTTACTAATTCCATTACTGTAAAATTCTTTTGGCTTTGATTCGAAGAACTCACAAATGTCAGTTTTAACCTCTTCCTGTGTTACAAAAGCTGTTTCTTCCAAATGATTCTGTAAGCTACGAAACAATTGGTAGTCTGAAGGAGCAAGATCGGGAGAATAAGGTGAATGGGGAATTTTCTCGCAACCAAATTCTTCGATCTTTTGTGACGTGATTCTTGCTGTGTGGAGTTGCGCATTGTCCTGATGAAACATCACCTCTTTTCGATTCACTAGAGCAGGCCTTTTTTTCCTCAAAGCTTGGTTCAAACGCTCTAATTGCTGACAGTATATTTGAGCATTAATTGTTGTATTAGGTGGTAAGAATTTAAAGTGGATTATTCCTTGGCGATCCCACCAGATTGAAAGAAGAACCTTTTGCCTATGAAGTTCCCTTCTCGGCTGTGGCTGGGGTCCTTCCCCTTTACCAAACCACTGTCTACGTCGCTTAACATTTCAATAAAAGATCCATTTTTCGTCGCCAGTCACAAGTCTATTCAAAAAAGGTGAAACAAGTTGGCGAGAATGGAGAGAAGAGCAGATGTCAACTCGGGATTTGAAGTTGTTTTCAGACAATTCATGAGGCACCCATTTTCCAAGTTCAGGAACTTTTCCAAGTTGTTGAAGATGACGATGAACAGTTGTATGGTTTGAACTGAGAACCACTGCCAATTCGTCAACTGACAAAGCAGGATTTTCTTCAAGGGCTGCTTCAAAAAGCTTTTCATCAAACTCAACTGGACGTCCAGTTCGATCTTCATCTTCAAGGGTGAAATCTCTACCTCTGAATTTTGCAAACCATCCTCTAAGTTCTTTCATTCACACATTCCTCTCCATAAACTGAGTGAATGTTTCTAGCCGCTTCGGCTGCTGAGTTTCCTTTCTTGAACTCATAAAGCATTATGTGCCTCAAATGATTCTTGGGTACTTCCATGTAAGCAGGGTTTTAATCAAACAAAATTTAATTTTATTGTTCTCTGAAATAAAATTTGATCTGTTTAAATGCATCTAAACATAAAAATAATGTTCAGCTCCATTAGACATTATAAAATATTTTTTAAATTTCGTTCATTTTAACAAAAAAATTAAAATTCGGACAGAACTTATGGGATGACCTGATAGAATTGATATTTGTCTTTCTTCTATTAAATTGGAATTCATTAGAACTGATCATAATGTATATTCGTATAAGTTACGAATAGTTAAATTTGGAATATGAAACAACAAGCGAGATATTTAAATATTTATATTCGGCTTATTTTTGTTGATTTATATCGCAATGTTCTGCGTTACAAGAGAACGCATTTAGACAGCAGAGAAAAAGAGGACTAGGCTGAAAAAGAAAGAAGGAAAGATAGATAGATAGAGAGAGAGAGAGAGAGAGTGAGAAGAAGAGAGATAAATAGAAACAGAGAGAGAGAGATCAAAGATAAAAAAAACATAGAGAGGGGGGAGAATAAAGACAGAGACGAAGTGATAGAAAGAGGAAAGAAAGAATGATGGATATACAGAGGAAGATAGAAAAGTAGGATTAAGAGAGTGGAAGAGAGAAGAAAACGAAAGAGGGACAGAGGAAAAGAGAGAGAGAGAGAGAGAAAGAAGAAGAAAATAGAGGAACATAAAGATAGATTAGCATATAGAGAAGTAGTAAGAGGGAGAGAAATGGAGACAGAAAGAAGAAAATATGTATAGAGAGAGAAGTGCGAGAAAGAGAGAGGAAGAAGAGGATGGAGAAAGGGGAAAGAGGAAAGAGAAAGGAGAAAAAGAGTAAGGTAAGTACTGAGGGAGGAGAAAAAGAGGACAACAGAGAACAAGATAAAGAAAAAAGAAGCATGACACAGGTAGAGAGAAAGAAGAAAAGAGCGATAGAGAAAGGAGAGAGAAAAGAGAATGAGTGAGAGAAAGATTGAGAGAGAGAGAGAAAATGATTTATAAACACACACACATATATATATATATATATATATATATATATATATATATATATATATATATATATATGTATGCACACAATTAAATCCAAAATCACCTCATATTAGGAATGAGCTTATTTCAGCCGACGAAAAAATAAAAGTCGTCAGTCTTATTCAATCCCGGTATATAGACTGAGTTCGTTTCCGAATTAGAAATGTAACTGTGAAGGCAGCAAAAAAAAAAAATTAAGTTCGTTTTGAGGATCAGTTTTAATATTTTGTATTACTAAGATCCACTTGGATTATATACCAACGGATTTGGTACCTTTGCTATATATATGCCCATATTACTACAAAATAGCAATTATAAAGAATTTAATACATCGTGCAGAAACTAATTCATCCACCAAACAGATTTTTTACAGTGAACTAAAGAATATAAAACAGACACTTATTAATAATAGCTTTCCAAACTATATAGTTGATGAACAAATAAGATGCTTTCTTAGAAATCTCAATAATAAGCAAATTGTACATAATACTGCTTCTACTGATCTCAAATATATTAATCTCCTATATCGTAATCAAATGCATACTAATTATAAACAAGATGAACACATACTAAAAAATTTAGTAAATTCTAATATATCAACTACAGATCCTAGCAAAAAAAAATTAAATTAATCATATACTACACTAAATCTAGTATATCCAACTTAATACTTCGCAATGATTCTTCTCCCCCGGTTAGCGATTTGCAAAAAAACCAACATAGTTTATAAATTCAAGTGCCCTTTGGGAGAGTATCTCCAACGAATTAAATAATATTTATGTTGGTCACACCACAAACTCACTTTCACGACGCTTGACACTACATTTTAATGAAAACTCTAACATTTTTAGGCATTTAAAACAACATGCCTGCCCGCACACACAATTCCGTAAAATACTTGTCAAAAACACAACTATACTTCGACATGAAAACAATAGACAAAAACTAAAAATACTTGAAGCATTATACATCAAACAGTTAAAACCCAACCTAAACAAAATCAACTATGGAATCTCTACAAATATTCTTAAATGTCTATAATTTCTATAATTGGTAACAGAAGCCATTGGTTTATACCAACGGCTTTCCTTATTTCATTCTACAATTCACTCTCGTGTAGTCATGTGTGACGTCATGAGATGCGGTGCGATTTTCGCTTCTAGCGTCTTATATGCGCGTGTTCATCGTTGCTTAGTGATCCACTATATAAACAAAACAATGACAGACTATCATCACTGTCGTGTCCGTATATTGTTTGATATGTTTGTAATTACATCTTTGATAATGGCTTGAGTAAGCCGAAAGCTTAGATTTTATTAAAAAAATAATGGATAAATATTGTGAATTTCTTTTTTCGGTTAATGATAATGTTACCAAACTTATCAGAAGATACGAAAAAATTTTACATAAAATAAATAGACAACACTTGTCTATATTATTTAATGAAACGTGTATAAAAATATATATATATATATATATATATATATATATATATATCGCAGAGCCGAGTTTGAATTCCAGTCGCATCCATTGCATTCACTTACGTGCTAATACCCTTGGGAAAGGCGTGAATCCTCTTCTCCCTCCAGCTATGGGTAAATAGCAGGACAGACTGGGTTCTATAGCTTTGGCTGGCAACTGGTCTAGGAGAAGGACAACTCTGAATTCAAAACCTGCGGAGGGTCGTTTGGGGCCCTTGTGACACGTAGTGCACCAGGTCTCTGTATTTGGCCCTTCAAAAAGTGTGCACGAAACCTTCACCACTATAATCAAATCTCATGTGCTGTTGTCGGGCTGTCGGTTTCCTGGGAACTGATCTGCTTGACCCTCATACATCGAATTCGACGGGAGAGTCGACTATATATATATATGGACACGTGCCCGAGTGGTTACAACATTCAGTTTCTGACCATGAGAACCCACGTAAGTACTTAGCCATAGAAAATATTATATCAATTTTCCTGCAGCCATTGCATAAAAAAATATAAGGGTTTCTCAATCTAGATATTATCACCGACCTGTGGGCGATTTCAACTGTTGGGTCGGCGTAGAGCAACTTAACAGAAAGTGATGGACAAGTGGAAATCAGGGTGGGTGATATAGGATTTTGATTATGAAACGAGATATGCAAAGAATCTATGTAAAAAAAAAAAAACAAAACACAAGGCTAATTGCTAATAATGGGTCACATTCCGAGATAGGATATAAATAGGCACGCAAACAAGGAATATTTTGGTAATTCCTATAGTTTAGAGAAGGTTCATTAACACTCATATAGTTCTTCAGGCGAAAATATAATTTTACGGATATAAGTGAAGACAAAGAACAACAAAAAAATATTCACTGAATTTTTATTAGTTGCTAGTAGTGTATATTCTTTAATTTTATAATTATGAACAAAATGTCGTTTAATTTTTTTGTTATGGTCCAGGTTAGGACCAAGGAAGAACAACACGAACACAAGAGTAGAAATAACGAAGGTATATTACACGAAATAATAATACAAGATGTGGAAGGTGTTAGTATGACTGTCAGTCAGGTTTGGGGTGAACTAATATCGGCTCGACTCTATTGGGTATCTAGACCCCCCCCCCAACGAGGGTTGCATGTGGCACAAGGCCGAGTTTAACGTGGGTTTCCCGAGCCCGTAGGCTCGGCCAAAAAATGCGCGTAGAACCCGTATAAACGGCGGAGCCTAGTCCGGGTTCCTCTCTGCTCAGAGGCAGAGAATTCGACCGTCAAGCCGAGCTTCTCGGCTTGATTCGGTATCTAGCCCCGCTTCACGAGGGTTGCATATGGCACAAGGCCGAGTTTAACGTGGGTTTCCCGAACCCGTAGGCTCGGCCCACAAATGCCCATAGAACCCGTATAAACGGGATCGGGTTGGTCAACCTCCCCGTACGAGACTCCGCCCTTCGGCCGAGCCTAGTCCGGGTTCCTCTCTGCTCAGAGGCAGAGAGTTCGACCGTCAAACCGAGAAGCTCGGCTTGATACGTCCCTCTCTCTTGAGAGGCGTAGTATACATAGTGTTAGGAAGAGTTCATTCTGTGGTTATAGGTAAGGACCCATGACACTTTTGTCAACACTTGCAACGCTAACCCTAACTGTAAAACTAACCTTGACCAGTCAGTCAGTTAAGTGCCATACGTGATAGACGTTTCGGCGATCATATATCTTTCGATACATGACTGATGAAGCAGAAGTTTTTTCCCGCAGTAGGTTGCCATTTCTTTCTACGTAGACTGGTTGCCAACCAAGGCTAAAGAACCCACTCTGTCCTGCTCCATCTCTTCTACCCCCACCCATAGCTGCGGGAGAAGAGATACGCAAGGTTATTTGTGCGTAAGTAAATCTAACTCGACTAGAATTCTCCGTTTTCACACTTTCTCACTCCGAACCGATATCCATTACACTACAACGTACATCCTTATCATAAAACTAAATTATATATATAGCTTTCAATAGTCAAGTTTGCTTTCCCTTGTTTTTTTAGTAGTAGCGGTAACAGCAGCCGCCGCATAAGTTAGTGTTATTTGTTACCTCCCCTTGTTATTAACTAAATCATAAAGTCAGTTTATGAACTAGTAACAAACTTTTACCAAACAATATTGGTATGTTTTTTAATATTTACTATACAGGTGGGTAATGTCAACAGTATTCAATGTGAAAGGGGACGATGACGGAAAACAGTTTAGGAACCCCTGGGTGAAAGTAATATCTTTTTCTGTGAGACATGTCTCTTCATGTCGTGGACGCTCAACTTCTCATCCTTTTTAGCTCTTGATGCCAGTCTAGTAGCCGGCTTAAATTCATGTAGTCGGGGAACCACAGAAAAAAGGCTCGCCAGAGCAGTCGCAATGAAAATATTTGTAAAAAAAAATAAATAAATAAATAAATAAAATAAACAGGGAAGCCACGATTACGTCTGTGAGAAAGTGACGGAATTCGAGATGCCAGGTCAGGATCGATTGCATTGCAGATTCTTCTTTGGATTTTGTCAAGAACTTCGAGATGAATAACAGTAGCACCAGGTAAAAAAACCATCACAACGGTTGCTATGAAAATGTTTGTAGAAAAGTGTTGTAGGGTAGTTTTCACAGTGGAGGCTTGTATTTCAATAAGTGTCCTAAATTAGGTTCGACATACAAAACGTTAGAAACATGAAATAAGAATAAATGATGCAGCAATCTAGTTGTGATGGTTGGTACTTAAATGTCCGATATCGACTGACTCACTCAACACCACTGAGCCCAACTGGCGACCGCTACTACTACTACTACTACTACTACTACTACTTATTATGTGTGGAAGAGTCTATTAATAATAGAATAGGTACGTCAGGTATGACAAAAAGAGAGAGGGAAACCACATGACATCGATGGAAAAATGACTGGAGTCGAGATGACTGGTCAGAATCCATTCTGTTACAGATACTTCTTTGGATTTTGTCAAGAATCTCGAGATGTACAGCAGGAGCTCCAAACCAGATATGGCAACAGTATTCAATGCAGTTGGGAAGTGCGATAAAATAAACTGTTAATAAATAAAGTGGCGGTTGCTATTTCAGAAGTAAAAGGGTGAGACCTAAATGCCATTCTAGTAGCAGGCTTAAATTCATGAATTCGAGGAGCCAGAGAAAAAAAGCTCGTCAGAGCAGTTGGCATGAAAATATTTTGTAGAAAAGACAGAGAGAAGCCAAGTTACACCGGTGAGAAAGTGACTGAAGTCGAGAATTACATTACAGATCCTGTTTTGTCAAGAATCTCGAGATACACAGCAAAAGCACCAGATATGGCAAAAGTATTCAATGAACGGGCGAATGGTAGATTTATAAATGTGCAAGATGGATTCTGACAAGAAAAGTTTTCTGAAAAGACACAGTGACGCAACTTCCCTTACAGTAGATGCAATTGTTTTTATTGTACTTGACATCTCCAAATCATTGTTCTCTTTCAATGGCCTATAATACTTGCTATTTCACTTAGAGAAATCACCATAGAGAAGTTGCTTTGGGACTCTTGTTCATCCAGGTAACATGCCCCGTTCTTTTGAGTTGGGCTTTCAGGATCATGGCTTTAATATTTGTGGTTTCTGCGCGGGATAATACCTCAAGGTTTGTAATACTATCTTGACATGTAATGCCCAAGATGGAGCGCGAGCCTAGCATGTGAAAGTGCCCCAACAGTTTAATGTGTTTTCTATACAGGGTGCAGGTCTCAAATCCATGAAGACGGCTGGTGGGGAGAAATGCATTGTAGAACTTGAACTTGGTTGACAGCTGGATATTGTGTTGATTGAACGCACGAGCTCGCATTCTACCCAGGACCTGACTTGCAGATCCTGGCGTTGATCTTTTTTGTCGAAGAAACAATCATTGGAAATGATACTTCCGTGATAACAAACAAAGAGCATTAACAAATAACAAAAACCACATCACTTGAACACTTCCAACAGTGACAATAACTAAAATGGTTAGCTCATGTAATTAGAAGAGAAAATAATATAATCAAGATGTTTTTCTACCTTAAATAAAAAGATCAAAAAGGAGACTCTCATCAGTACTAGAAAGTGTGATAATTGTTAGTGGACTAGTTTCTTGAAAAACTGCTTTAAGTGAAAACATAATTAATTACTGTCATGACGCAAACGCTAAATTTTCGGTCAATAAAGGTGGAATGTTTCCTTATGAGGAAATGCTTATTTTCACTATTACCATTAGGAGGAATAGCACTTGCACTTTTTGCCATTTCTATTCCACGTCGTATTATTGATAAACGATTAATTTAAATTGATGTTTTAAGTTTATTAACTCATTAAAAGATTTCTCATGGATTTTGATTTTCTTAAATTAACAATATTACAAAATGCAAACCATGTATATATTTCATATGATTTTCGTGCGTGGTATTCTCTCTCTCTCTCTCTCTCTCTCTCTATATATATATATATATATATATATATATATATATATATATGTATAGTTAACTATATATATATATATATGTATAGTTAACTATATATATATATATATATATAGTGTATTTAGGCAGCATTTTTTCATTGATGCATGTTTCATTAAATAATATAGACAAGTTTTATCTATTTATTTTATGTAAATTCTTTTCATATCGTCTGATAAGCTTAATAACATTATCATTAAAAGACGAAAGAAAATCACCATATTGATACATGTTTTTTAATCCTATCTAAGCTTTCGGCTTACATAAGCCATTATCATAGATGACAATTACATTACAATATGTTAAACAACACACTGACAAAACAATAATGATTTTGTTTACATGGAAGATTTAAAAGCAACGACAAATTCGTGCATACGAGAGGCTGTAAGCGAAAATCGCACCACAGTTCATGACGTCACGCATGACCACGCGAGAGTGAAAACGAGTAGTATTAAGTATGGGAAGCCGTTGGTATAAACAAATGGCTTCTGTTAACAATTGTAGGCATTTAAGAATATTTGTGAAGATTTCATAGTTTATTTTGTTCAGGTTAGGTTTCAACTTTTTTTTATGTATATAGCTTCAAAAATGTTTAGTTTTTGTTTATTGTTTTTATGTATAAGTATAGTTGTGTTTTCAACAAGGATTTTCCGGAATTGTGTATGCGGCCAGGCATGTTAGTTATCATTCAAATGTAGTGTCAAGCGTCGTGAAAGCGAGTTTGTGGTGTGTCCAACATAAATATTATTTAATCCGTTGGAGATACAATCTCACAAAGGGCATTTGAATTTGTAAACAATGTTAGTTTTTTGCAAATCGCTAACGGAGGGAGAAGAATCATTGCGATTAATTGAGTTGGATATAGTAGATTTAGTGTAGTATATGATTAACTTAATTTGTTTTTCTTAGGATCTATTGTAGATATATTAGTATTTACTAATTTTTTTAGTATATGTATGATAATGTTATTAAGCTTACCAGACGATATGAAAAGAATTTGCAGAAAATAAATAGACAAAACTTGTCTATATTATTTAATGAAACATGCACACACACACACACACACACACACACACACACACACACACACACACACACACACACACACATATATATATATATATATATATATATATATATATATATATATATATCGGAATTAAGATACCATTATGTAAAGGATCATTTTCACCTTGTACAATTAAATTTACAGGATTTTTCAAACAGTCAATGGATGATAAATTAATGAAATAAAAATTACCAGATAGAGGGAAGAAAGAAAGGAAGAAAAAAATGGGGAAAAAGAAGATTAAGAATAGAAAGGAAGGGAAGGTAGCAAAGGAAACAGGAAGTGGTGTAAGTCTTGATATGAGTGGTGGTCAGAGGGGAAAGGAAGAGAAAAGAAAAAGAAGGAAAGGAGAGAAGAGATGACCTATTTAATATACCCAGTAGTAATCAGACAGTAGATAGACTGAAAGAATCTTCAGAAATTAATGAAAAAAAATATTATATAAAATAATAAGAGATGACCGACAAAATATGAAAGAGAGATAATTCAGACTAAAAGAGTATTAAAATTAACTAATATACACGAAAGAATATTAAAAGAAATATAAAAAAAATAAATATAAATATTTTAGGATGAATACATCCAAATCAACATAAATCAAATTAAACTTCTATTAAATAATACCTATCCACAAGGAAAAAATATTTGAAATTTTATAATATAAAAAGCCATAAAATTAGACAAAAATAATAAGTACCTTTAGAATAAGGAATTAAAAAGGTGCCTTTTTAATCAAAAGAAAATACTATATAAAAATAAAAAAATATATAAATATCTTAATTAATCAATTAATTAATAGTAACAAAAAATTAAATAAATAAAAATATTACAAAAAACCTTAAATGAAATTAAAATATTAAATAAAAAAAACAAAAAATATATAAAAAACCCCTTAAAATTTATACAAAGATAAATATTTGAATGCACATTCAACAAACTATATATATCAGTAAAATACACTTCAATACTACATATCAACATAATATATTAACATTGCACTACATATTAAATATAAAAAGCCCCACAATATTAAAAATATCTAAATACTGGAAATTAGACATACTAATTGTTTGAGAATAAATATATAAAAAAAAACTTTTTTAAAAATATATAAACCAATATATAAAATAGAGCTTAAGTAAACATATAATTATGTATTATCACATAACAAATTAACTCAAACGTTTTATTAAGGTATATTATTATTAATATATAATATTGTAGTGAGAATACAATTAAGGATAATTTAATAAAGATACCTTAAGGTAAGAAAAATGGAAAAATAATGCTAATAAGGGTAATATTAAAGATATTATAAATAGTCACCAAGAATTAATAGCAATTTAGGAATAGAGAAAAGATATTTTTATAAATTGTAAGAGAAGAGAAATATAAGAAGGATATATAAAGAAAGGTAGATGCTATCTATGCCTACAAGAGAAAATTAGAATTATTAAATTCAGAAATCCAAATATACTGTTAAACCAAAGGAATGAAGTAATTTCTAAATGCCGTCACCGCAGTAGATTTAAACTTATCTAGACTCTTGAACCTGTATGAATTGTCATCCTTTGGAAATTACCCGTGAATTCTTTGAGTGAACTGTTTTCCTTTAACAAGTACATGAAGTGCTATCTTTGACAATTATATTGTATATTCTGCTTCTCTTTTCTTTATAAATCTTTCCCAAATTTCCCTTCTGTTACAATTTACAAAAATATCTTATCTTTGACAATTATGCTGTATATTCCGCTTCTTCACCTTTCTGCAAAAGTATATATATATATATATATATATATATATATATATATATATATATATAGTGAGAGAGATAGATAGAAAGAATAAGAAAAAACTGTTTGAAAAACGATGGAAAGAAATAAAGAAAAAAGAAATAAAGAAAGGGAAGGAAAACTCACTAGAAAGAAAGAAAGCAAATCTTATGAGTGAAAGAGAAAAGAAAGAAAAAGCGCGATAAAAATCAATGAATTGTAGTAATGGCCATCTCTGTATGGCTGCCGGTGATAGAGACAACTATTAAATATGCCTTTTAAAAATAGCAACGTTCAAACATTAACGTCTGACTAAAACTGTTTAAGCTGTGAAATCCCATTCTTCGAGGAATTATGGTTTTCTCTCGTCATTGATTAAGAACTTTAATTCGTGTGAAATGATGGAAGTGACATTAAAAAAAAAAGTAGCAGGGGCAGACATCAAAAGGCAAAAAAAAAAAAAAAAATGAATAAATAAATAAATAAAAATTAAAATCGTTTTAATGATGTTGTTGATAATGTTGATAAAGCTAAGACCACTGAAAGAATTGGAATCAAATAATTTCAAATCATTCAAACTGAATTATTCCGAAGCTGATTTATACAAATTAATTATTCTTTTTTGCTCTGAGGCAGATACGAAAATAAACGTCCGATAAACCGATTTAATTAAGGTTAGCTCAAGCCTGTTTTTTAGTTCGGCTTACTTATGAGCAGTTTAAAAGGCAAAGTAACAAAAAGACTGGGACTTTAGAGGAGACTGATAAATTTCATTCTATATAAATGCGCACCAAATGGCGGTATGAAGTGAGAAGAAAAACTAGATTCTTTCCACAAAAGACATAAAAAGTCTTGGATGAAAGATCCCTTCAAAACAAGCATCAATATGAGAAATGTCAAGAAAGACGAATTTTTATTCGCCAGGCTCCTTATCTTTAATGTCAACAGGGACTCAATTTCACCCAAACCTCTAGTCAAACTCGGGCATACGACCCATAGTAAAAGAAAAATGGTCGGTTCATTGTAGCCTTCCAGAAAATACCTGACTCCTGCTGATGTTCTTTATCTTTACAAGAATCAGATAAGACCAAAAATGGAGTATTGCAACCATATCTGAGTCGGAGTTGCTTAATCCTCACTTTCTAGCTACGATTGAGTTCAAAATCGTTTACGCGGACTTGTGGTTGATGAATTCTTTTCAGCCTTACAACACTTTTCATGGAGACAAAATATCGCAATCCTGCCGTTACTCTATCGCTAATTCCATGGCAAATGTTCAAATGGGCCTTAGGTCCACCAGTTCATTTTACGGTTAGGATTAGTCATGCCATATACACAAGGTCAGATCATCCCAATTCCTTTCGTATTCCGTTGAAAGTTCTATGCAGACAGCTTCCTCCCTAAAACTGCTACTTTGTGGAAAATACTCCCGAGAGTGTGCTTCTCAGATCACTATAATCTTAACCTCTTCAAGTCTAGGGTCACCCGTTATCTATACTACATATACTCA